CTTTTTCCATAACTCCCACAAAATAATTGTTGGTATTGCCTTGAGGATTTGCTTCTCCTTACACTGTCTTGGCCAGTCCCACCAAATAGTAATAAGTTGTTGCAAGTGAACTCCTTCGATGCTAATACATGTATATGAAACAAAGTGTTTCCATAGCTTTTGGGCTATGGGAGTTGTTTGAAAAGGGTGTTGCATTGTTTCCGCCTCTCCCACATTATAGTGGTAACATTTGGATGCCACATGTACTTTCATTCTTTTAAGAACATCATCTGTGGGAATTCGCCTTCGCTATACCCTCCAAAGAAAGAAGGAGATTTTAAACGGTAGCCCCTTGATCCATATATTATTCATCCATTCTTTCTCTTCTCCTTTCTGCCTTGTTAACTGAAAAGCTGATCTAACAGTGAAATCTCCTTGATTATTTCCTATCCACCATGTCTTGTCTGATTCAACCATGCTCATATTGGGATTAATAGTCTCCAGAATGTATTCCACCATTTCCTGAGATAACAATTGACTTAGTCTTATGTTCCATTGCCCATTATGGATCATCTCTTTAACCTCCACTTCTTTCTCTACTCCTTTTAATTTCTGTATAATATAGAGCACCTTGCTTAGTCCAGTTTTTCAGCCAGAAACTAGCAGTACCTTCCTTCTGTTGCCTACATATTTCATGCTCCACATCTTCTCTGATTGTTGCCATTTCCCTCCAGACCTGTGATACACCTCTATTTTGAGCCATTATGGGATGATGATTCTTACAATACTTATTTCACATAAATGTGCCCCACAAAGATGTCTGAGTTCTAAAAATCCACCACCGTCTAGCAAATAGGACATTAAATATATCATAGAGGGATTTGAAGCCTAATCCTCCCTCACTTTTTGGGTAGCACATATCCATCCAAGTTACCCAATGTTTACCTCTTATTCCAGCATAGTTTCCCCAGAAGAAATTAGTAAAGAGCTGATGAATTTGGTCTATAACACTTTTTGGTGGAGACATAGTAGATAACATGTAGATTGGAATCGATTGCAGTACATGATTTATCAATATATATTTTCCACCAAATGATAGGAACCTGTTCTGTCATGAGAATATTCTAGCAGCAATCATGTTTTATTAAACCCTCAAAGTAGCTTCTTTTCTTTCTTCCATAGTATATAGGAATAGGAGAACCTAGATATGTGAACGAGAAGTTACCAGGCCTAATCCCAGTAAATTTTCTCAGTCATACTGTGATAATCAAAGGAGTCTTGTCATGTAGGTAGAAAAAGTTCTTTTCCTTGTTAATCATCTGACCCGATACCCTTTCATAATCCCTCAATACCTTCATCATTTGGATCACTGAATGCCTGTCTCCTGAGCCAAATAAAATTTTATCATCAACATATGCCAGATGATTAATTTTAGGGCTCCATTTGGGCATTCTGAATCCTCTAAAAGACTCCTGATCATTGAGTTGATTGAGGCTTCTGGATAATACCTCAGCAACCATGATGAACAAAGTTGGAGACAGAGGATTCTCTTGTTTTAGTCCTCTAGTTGAGTGAAAGAAATCATGGCTTTGTCCATTAATTAGTACCGAGTACCAATTTGCAGAAATCAACCGTCAAACCATATCTATTATCATCTCTGAAACCAAACTATCGTAGGACTTTAGTTAGGAATATCCACGCCACTCTATCATATGTTTTAGCCATATCCAACTTCACCACTACATTAGCCTCCTTGCTTCTTAAGTGTATATCCCTGATAATTTCCCGAGCCAATAATACCTTCTCCGTGAATTTGCATCCGAAAAAGACAAGTCTTATGCATTTATTTTATTTATAACTTAAAGTGTTTATTCTAATTTTTATACTTATTACTATATCATAACTTTATAAAAAAACGTATTTAAATGGATAAAAGCATCTTAATGTTCAATTATTACTACTTTAATACTTTCTCTGTCCAATAATAGTTGTTCACTATTGACTGGACACACCTTTAAAAAGTAGTAAATGATAGGGATAATTTACCAAACTATCGCTATTAAATATTAGTCATCCAAATGATTAAAATTCATTAAATCCAACTAAAAGAATTATGTCAGCTATAAAAACTCTTAAACTTTTCAATCCAATAACTACATTCTTAGATTCACAAGAAATCCAGTACATTTTTTCCTTGAAAATAAATTATGGTGTCAAACTTCTGATAGCTTTCAACTCAATAATTTTGATCGTTATATCTTCAATCTTCACTTTTGAATCTTCAATATTCCGTTTTGAAGCTCGAACCTTTTTATCCACAATATTGGAGCCTTCAAATTTAGTAGGCGTTTGGCCATGCGATATCATATCACGATATGATGTCGTGAGATGAAATCAGCGTTTGGACATGCGATTTTACACTGATTTCATCTCACGCTTTCATATCATGAGAGGTGATATCATATTCTCCAAAAACCATGATATGGAATCACCATGTGATTTCATATCATGATTTGAGATATTTTAATACAATAATTGATCCATGAGTTTATATTTTGTTAAAACAACCCCACATTTATATCTACTAACCATTTGTTTCATATGTAAATAAAATTTATAATGACATCATTACTTTTTAAAATTTATTATTCTCACCAATATAAAATTTATTATCACTTTAAATTTGGTGAATATAAATGATAAAGTAGAAATTCATTTGGTGAATATAAATGAGAACAAAGGGAGTAATACTTTTTTTATTTTTCATAATAATAAAAAACGTCTTAATCTTATGACTAAGCATAATATTGATAAAAGACAATTTTCATTGGCGGTGCCGCACTTTCTTAATCTTAGTATTTGCAAAATGTTCGTTCACATGATTGAAGGATATCAAGTCCAATTGATTGAGGACTTAGGAAAATTTGATCAATTAGTTATTAATATTTAGTCAAGTGGACTAGTTTTAATTTTTTTGATTAAATTTTATTAGAAGTGATTTTGACTCAAACTTGTGGTAACTATTTAAAATTTCGTTATTCAATAATATTTAACTATTGATTTTTCTTGTAAATAGTTAGAAGTTAGTGATGTTTGTTAATTTTTATCTTAGTGCATTTAACTTCTAAGTTAATATTTACTCACTAATGTATGTTTTTTTTCTACTTTATAGGTTATTTGTAAGAGTAGTTGAGAGATATGAACATATCAAGTACAATTTATGTTCAATTTTTTTTAATTAAATTAAAGTTAGATGAAACAATTATTTAACTGAAGAACAAATAACTTTGTAATCATTTATTATGCGATTTTATAATTTTTGTTTATTTGATAAGATTGAATAAACAATTGGGGTTATTTTAATAGTTTTACAACTTATGGGATTTTTATGTTTATGAGAAAATATACAACACAAAAATTCCATATCGCATGTCCAAACAAACCTTCAATTTCATCTCATGATTCCATATCATGATACCATATCATGATTTCATATCATGATATCATATCGCATGGCCAAACGGGCATAACATTAGAACTTTTAAGGGTTTTTTTTCCGGATACATTATCAAGCTCTTTTTTGTCTCTCTTTTTATTTCTTTAAAAATTATGCTTATAATATTATTGACAATTGAGAAAATTCTAAAGAAGTAATGCATATAGCAGAAAGAGTATTAGGCACTGAAATGGAAGGACATGTTTTAATAATAAATGTGATTGGCTATTTATTAGATGTTGAAATGAAAATCTAACTTTGACTTATAATTCCAAAGTGTTGGGAAATGAATTCAATAATCTGATTTAGTAAGGGTAAAATGGTAGAAATAGGTAAATTATCCATGAATTTCATAAAGTGGAAAAATATTATTGTTCATCTAAAATTTTAGATGGACAATAATATTTTTCCACTTTATGAAATCCATGGATAATTTACCCGTTTCTATCCATTTTACCCTTACTAAATCATATTTTTGAATTCATTTCCCAATACTTTGGAATTATAAATCAAAGTTAGGCTTTCAATATTTAATATATAGCCAAGCACATTTATTATTAAAATACGTCATTCCATTCCAATACCTAATACTCCTTCTGCTACTTGCATTACTTCTTTAAAATTCTCTCAATTGCCAATGATATTATAAACATAATTTTTTGAAGAAATAGAAAAGAGCTTGATAATGTATCAAAAAAAATCTTAAAAGTTCTAATATTGTTAAAGTTGAAGGTTCCAATATTGTGGATAAAAAAGTTCAAGCTTCAAAAATGAATATTGAAGATTCAAAAGTGAAGATTGAAGATATAAGGATCAAAGTTATTGAGTTTGAAAGCTATTAGAAGTTTGACATCATAATTTATTTTCAAGGGAAAACATACTTGATTTCTTGTGAATCTAAGAATATAGTTATTGGGTTGAAAAGTTCAAGAAGCTTTTATAGTTGACACAATTCTTTTAGTTAGATTTAATGAACTTTAATCATTTGGATGACTAATATTTAATAGGAATATTTGGTAAAATCACCCTTATCATTTACAATTTCTTAAATGGAGTGCCAAATTAATAATGAACAACTATTATTAGATAAAGAGAGTAAAATTATGTGTTAAAATGAGTTAGAGTTTAGCATTTAATTTATTTGAATTTGACAATCGCACCAAATATTATTTTAAAAAAATCATGATTTTAACATTTCTTTTTACATTGCGTGAAGCACGGCCATGTTTAGTAGTTTAAATATCTAACTAGTAATATGTTTACTAGTTTAGGATGATTTTGATTCACTACATCTACTTTAATATTTATGAAATTATGATGACGATTGCAAAATGACCTCCAAATTAAATTCACATGAAATGCAAATTAAGTTTTCCCCTCTCGCTATCACATCTTATATATACAACACCAGCCTTAGAAGCTGAGTCTACACTTTTGAGCTTTCTTTCAGAGAGCTAAAACTCATTTTTATTTATGATTTTTTTCTGGGATCGCCGGAAAATCAAGATTCTGGTAACTCAAGTAGTTAATTAAAGAAAATAAAGTATTTTCGTAATTCAATATATATATATATATATATATATAAGTTAATTAAATGGCGAAAGGTCGAAAGCTGACCATCAGTATGAGTGAAAGGTATTTAGGAAGTTACAGTTACAATCATGCAAATCAAACAGTCAACGAAACATCGGAATTTGGAGAAGATGATGTTTGGTCAACCGTTGATGATATGGTGGTCAACGGTGGCGACGATGATCATTTGATGAACGGCGCTTGTAATTCACGCGCGACCGCAGAGAGTGACGTCGGAAGTTTTAGGAGCAGCCGACGCCAAGCTGGAGGAGGAGGCGGCTTGTCATTGGCCTTTGATGATGATGCAGGTAAAGCCACGTCATCATCTCGGATCATTCATCAATTTCGTGGACAAGACAGCCTGGCAGCGCAGTCTCCACGTGGACACCACATGGCGTCCTCGGCTCCCGTGAATGTTCCTGATTGGTCAAAGATATATCGAGTTGACTCGGTTGAGTCATTTCATGACTCAGACGATGGTGTTGATGATCATGAGTTGGATATGGTTCCGCCACATGAGTATTTAGCTCGTGGATATGGTAGGTCACGAAAATCAACAACCGATTCGATGTTTGAAGGCGTGGGAAGGACATTAAAGGGTCGGGACATGAGTCGAGTTCGAGATGCAGTGTGGAGTCAGACCGGGTTCAATGGCTAAGTCGATTCATCAATAATCATATATATAGTTGTTTATCGTTAGTGTAATTTTTATTTTATTTTTTTGTTCTTTGGGCAATGATTCAAGCCGAATGAATATAGTTTCAGTGAGTCAACCAGGCTGTGATTGAGCCCAGTTATATGATTTGATGTTTTCCTTCTCTATATATTTTAATTTGTTTGATTTCCTTATTTTTAAAATTTTATTATAATAGTGTCTTTTTTTATTTTACAACTCTTTACAAAATATGTTTAGAATCACATGATTAAATGATATTTGATATGTTTCTAGTTTCAAATCACAAATTTTTTTTTTTTTTTTTTTTATCAAATAAAAATCAGACAAACAAAATAAAACAATATTTAGATAAAGAATTTATGGAGTCCATCTCTGCATCAAGTCACCAATGACTCCCACCTTCATATTGGTTTTTGGACAGTCATAGTGTTGTAGGAAAAGAAATGGAAAAGGAAATAAAGAATAGATTAAAGTACAAAAGATATATAATTGCATATTGGAAATACAGTCTGGTAATTGTAACATCATATTTATTAGGTGTGTGTAGGATTTCAATTATATCATAAAATCTTCTTTTATCTTTTTGGTTCACCCCATTAAAATTATTCGTCCTATTCCAATTTAGATGATATAATTTGATTAATTACGATTTTTACAAAAAAATAATTTTTTAAATTTATGAATTTAAAATAAGTTATAAATATTTATATAATTACAAATACTCTTATTAAGAATTAAATGTAAAATGTTAAATTTAAATCTATATTTAAAAATAACATTTTTTTAAGCTAATTCCGGAAAAAAATTGTACACCGTATAAATTGCAACAAAAGGAAATAGAAAAGGAGAAAAAAAGAAGATAGCTATCTATAAAATTGATTGATCGGCTATCACTTGTCAAATGTCAAATAATAACCCAATAGAAAAGCTAACATAAATGTATGAGTTATGACGTATGATATAGGAGTATATTGTTAAAATGTCCTAATCAAATGATTTTTATATTTATATTTATTATAGAAGATCCCAATTTCATATTGAGAAAATAACTTTAAAAAGCTTGCATTTGATGATATTTTGCTCCTTCCTATATTTTTAATTATCAAATATTAATTCCTTAATGTAAATTAGCTTAAACATGTCTTATCTTGAAATGGTTAGCTAGTATTATAATGACGTAGATTATTTTGTAATGAAGCTACTTAAATAGTTAGATGACAATTTCAAATAATTGCCACTAAAGTAAACAAGGTGTGTGGGACATGAATGCAATAATTAATACACAGAAGGTGGAGCTTAATTATTGTTAAGTAGTATGCGTTTTTTGGAAAAAGCCATTACGAATGATTTTTTTTCTTTCTAGGAAGATAATATTTTTAAAATGAGAAACATAATATTTTTATTGTAAATAAGAAAGTAAATTTCACAAGTGTCACTCTACATTAATGGTGTTCTCCACTCTCAAATGCACACCTCGTCTCTATATCCCACCACCTTAGGCTGATTTGTTTTGTCCAATGAATCACACGACCAACAAAATGTATGTGAGGCTCACCCTATTGTCACATCCTTTGTCTTTTTACTAAGTACACGTGTGACACTTGACAACTTGCTTAAGTTCTTGCACCTCTTGCTCAGATTTTGCTATGTCAAGTGTCATGTCCCGCTACTTCACAGTTCAAATTCGACACCGAAATAAGGGAGAAGAATCTAGAGTTGTGGGGAGGTTAGTAGAAGATTCTAGAACTCCCTTGAGAATTTCCAAGAAGGCTTAAGAATTCCCTAGAATATGTAGAGAATTCTAGAATGGGACCAAAGTATAATTATTAGAGGGACTTATAAAGTAAATATTATTTGCACTTTAATTCCTAGGTTGTAGTATAAATAAATGGGGCATTCATTTGTAAGGCATCCAAGCTTGAAGCAAGCAATCAAGCAAGTTGTAAGCAATCTTCCAAGCAATAAAAAATCTTCTTCCAAAAGCTCTCTAATCTTTCTAAGTCTTTCTTTCCATTCTCTTAGCGATCTAGCTTCAAAGGGCTTACTTGAGCTTACAAGATCGTGAGAGATTCGTGAGTAAGTTGTCAAGTGCCGCACGGAACATTAGTGAATCTCTAAGTCCATGACAACGTGGTATCAGAGCAAAGATTTGTCACTAAGAGAATGGCTAACGAAGGAGACGTAAACGCCGCTAGTACCACCAATAATACGTGATAGTTTAGGTATGAAACTCACACTCTCAATAGTTTATGTATGAAACTAAAAAAAAATAAAAAAAATAATTTAGGTGTGTTTTTCACAATTATCTCTTTTTAAAAATACAATTAAGTTCTTCACAACATACTAAAGTTGTCGGAGAATTTTTCTTTTTCTTTTCATTTATTTTACTCAAATACTTAACTTGAAATTCACTAATGAGGTTTTTTTTATATGCATATTTAAGGATTTAATTTAGGCAACAAAGGTACAATTTAAATTAGAATTTTTAAATAAATAAATAATTTAATTACCCTCTCCTCAATTATCCACATCATATCCTATTCTAACCCTACACCCACCCCCACCCCACTCGGCCCTCTGCTTTAGTTCTCCAACATTATGACTTCCACCCCTACCCCCAACCCCAACCCACTTCAGTTCTCCAACAGTTGTGGTTGTTTTGTTTTAATTTATTATTTATATTAGCATATGTATCCGCGCGTTGCGCAGATAATATTAAAGAAAGTAATTATGTTATACATCATGTGTTCAAATTTTTTAATGTAAATTAGTATATCAATGAGTGAAACCTATTAACGTATGAGTTATTATGAGATGATTTGCAAAGCAAGTTTTTCTGTACTTCTTGACACATCTTGAATACTTATAATTTATTAAAAAAGATCAAATATGATACAAATTTATCATAAAATTCTCAAGTTGCAAAGAATATACATCAACTTTAAAATCTAAAATTAATATTATAAAAATATTACATAAAAAAATTTAAGCATGATAGGAATTTAATTAAAAACATAGCATTTAAAAAATATTAAATTAAAAAATTTATATAATGAAAATAATAATAAAATATTAGTTGATCATTTTCTCAGCCTATTTATCACTCCACTTAAATAATCTTAGTCATGCATTTTTTTAAACAAAATTAAAACTAATAAATACGCTCAATCGATTTAGTAATTTAAAGTAAAATTTGAAATAATGAGGCACTTGACTACTCAAAATCATCAACAACTAACATTATCTCTTTTATTTTAATTTTATATTTTAATTTAATTTTTTTTAATTCAATGATAAATTATTTTTTGTGTGTAGTAAGTGATAGTTAAATTGTAGCGTTAAAACTTATTTTAAGACTAATAATTGTAATTAATTATTAGTAGGTTGAGGAAATACTCAAAATGAAAGTCAAGTAGTCTATTGATTTAGTTGCCTATAATTATTTCCTCTTAATATAATATACGCTATAAAAAGGGAGGCATGAACGTGTTTGCTATAAAGGAGGAGCAAAATTGAGCAAATATTTTGGATTAGTCTGACAATAAAATAATTTATTTCAATTAAAATTTTGGTTATATTGTGCATGCTTGACGGTATTTTGAATTATTATAAATCAGTTTTTTATGTTATTTTTTTGTTTTAGATTTTTTTCTGAAAAACATTTGATGGATAATTACTTTATATAGGAAAAATTGATTGAAATGTAGCTTTATCTAGTATAGAGTTAGTTTACAATCCAAATTTTAAAAAATCAATGGTAACTTCCCATTCAAATTCAAAATTCGAAAAATTAATTATATTTAGTAAAATTTATCGTTATCAGTAAGCTAATTTTAATAAACTTTATCTTTCAATTTTTTTTTATATTTTTATATTTAGAGAAATAAAAATATTTGATAGAAAATTAGTTTATATAGGAAAAAATAAATTGAAATTTGCTTTATCTTAGTATAGAGTTAGTTTTTGATTCAAATTTTAAAAATCAATTGTAACTTCCCATTCAAATTCAAAATTAAAAAAAGTAATTATATATAATAAAATTAATCTTTATCTGTAAACTAATTTTAATAAACTTTATCTTTCAATTTTTTGTATATATTTTTATATGTAGAGAATAAAATAAAATTTTTGATGAAAAATTAGTTTATATAGGAAAAAATAGATTGAAATTTGGCTTTATCTAGTATGGAGTTAGTTTTCGATTCAAATTTTAAAAGATTATTAGTAACTTCCCATTCAAATTCAAAATTTTAAAAATTAATCATATTTAGTAAAATTTATCTTTATTTCTACACTAATTTTAATAAACTTTATCTTTCAATTTTTTTTTAAATATTTTTATAGTTGCAATATAAAACTATACTAAAAAATAAGTATTAAAATTGGTTGACGTCCAAATTTGAAATTTTATCTTTGAATTTAAATAAATACTATATAAAGAACATAAAAATTTGCCAAATAATACTAATAATAATTTTTGGGAATTTTTCACATTTTTATTAATAAATAATAATAATAATTTTTTTATTACTAAAAATAATAAATAATTTATTATTAATTATTAATATAAATATGAAAACTCCCCCCCCCCCCCAAAAAAAAAAAAAAAAACAAAAAGAAATAACACACTCTATAACCTATCCTATTATACATATATATATATAGAGAGAGAGAGAGAAGATTTCAATTTTTTTTCGTAAAAATTATTTTTGTGGTGCTAACACATAGGCGCTATCACATTTCCTATAATATATATTATTATTATTATTATTATATTATTATTATTATTATTGTTATTATTATTATTATTTAAAAATTTATAAAGAATGATAATTAGCTGTGAAAAGTTAGTTTAAATATTTTATATAAAAAAATGATAATTACCCAAAAAATAGAGTCCGTACGTATTAAAAATGTATATAGCTTAAATATCTAATTGAGAAAATTTGCAAGATGGACAAATAAAATTTAACACCTTTATAATAAAATCTCGTTGCACAACCCACATATCTTAAATTTCATTTGAAATCAATAAAAACAATTATTAATATTGATTTTTTATAAATAAAAAATTGTGAATATTAAATTATTACTAATTATTAATTAATCTAATTATGTATTACTATTTGGATGAATGGCAAATGTTTCCATTATTTA